GCAGAAGTCTTCTTTCCTCCAGTCTCCCTTCATGTCTTTCAGTGTTTTCCAAAACATCAGCATCTCAGTCCTTGCACACATACAGCTGGAAACTTCCCACCTTATTCCCATCTTTCCTTCAGAAGTGCATTCAACATTGTTCCACAAAAGATCAAGGATGGAGGTCCAGCTGCCCATAATGGTAATATCTCCTATAGTGGCCTTTCCTTCTTTTCTAATACATTGTCTTTGTAGTTTTCTTCTGAATTCCTGGAATCATCCACAAAATAAACTATTGTACTTTAGTTTTTAACTCAGTGTTTGATTTTGGAGGAACCCAACCCAAGGCAGACCCAAAACAATGAAGAGAAGTAGGATCAGCTGTAGAAATAGGTTGAAGTTTTAGATTCACTAGGACTTGCTCACAAGGAAGAGTAAAACCAAGACAAGCACATCTATTCATCTATGGCGAGAGAGCAGAAATATATTTAAGGTCTGTTAAAATTACAATGTCTCCCACCTTAATCTGTTGTGTTGCTATAACAGGATACTTGGTGCTGAGTAATCTATAAAGAGGTTTAATTGACTCGTGATTTTGATGACTGGCAAGTCCAAACAGCATGGGGCCAACTTTGGTTGAATCACAACAGGGTAGAGAAATGGAAAAAGGACCAGCCACTTGAGAAGAGGCTCAATACATGGGGTAGCCTCACTTTATAACAATCCTATCTTGCAAGAATGAACTCAATCCTGTGAAATCTGCATTCTCCTTGGACGACTGTTCTTGTGTCTTCTTTCACAACTTCTTTGGCAAGACCTTATCCAGATCTTTCCCACTTTTTCCTTGGTTCCATTATTACTGCCTTCCGATTCATCTATCAGGAACTTTTATAAAGCTTGGAATTTGGAGTCAGAGGGAGAGGCTGAGACTGGGACAATAAGGGTTAATAGAAGAAAGGGAGTTGGACTTGGAGACTCACCGGATACAGCCTTTGCAGTACATATTTACTCCACTCTTACTTGCTGGGTCCAGGACAAAGTTTGCTATTGAGAGAGAAGTGATGTTGGCTATTGAGGGAGAAGTAATGTTTATATTTGAGTAAAGAAGAGCCCTTCTTTATCCTTTCTTTCTCTTCCATTAATTCCTTTATGAATCAATTTCTTTGGCTAAAAAATTTTAAGAATCTCAGGACACAGATGCCTTTTCTATGTTGTGGAGGAAATTTCCTGAGGAAAATAATTCCTTTTTAAATAAAATTTAGCACTATGATAAAATGATAAAAAAAAATTCCTTTAAAACAAAAACAAAACGTCTTTTCCAGTCTGTGCCTGCTCCCCAACTGATTCTACAAAGCTTGGAAAGGTATAAAGAGGGCAATAAAGAACTCTAGAGGGGGAAAAAATAGTGAAAGCGAGGTTAGAAGGTAGCCCAAACATTTGTTTGGACTCTCTTGTTACTAGTTTCAGAAGAGGTTCTGAGTATTGATTCCAGTTGATAAATTTTAAGAACTAAGAAGCAGAAAGCTTAGTTTTGCTACTCAAGAGCAATAGCTAAGACTTTTAGCTGATTTTCATGCAGATGTTATAGATCTGTTAACTTGCCCAAGACTTGTTCTCCCTTCTTCTTTTCCTCCCCTCTCTTCCCTTTTCCCCACCCTTTTTAATCTCCCTTCCTCCTCCTCCTTTTTCTCTCTTTGTGATACTATGGATCAAATTCTGGTCCTCCCACTTGCCAAACAAGAGTTTTATTAGTGAACTACACTGCCTAGCTCCTAGTCAACAGTACTTTAGGATTTCAGACCAATTAAATTTTCTTCTCATGTATCTATACCATTCATTCTCATGCTCACAATTTTGGCCTTTGTACCATATCTTGTCTTCAAATCTTTCTTTCCCTTGTTCAAAACACACCCTTTCTATTCTCACTAGACTTGTACATCCTTTTGCTCAGAATGCTTCCTACGTTATCTGGAAAGGAACTATGCTTTTGTAGGTTTTCTTAATTTAATTTTGAATCTTTTTTAAAATATAATTTTATTGTTGTTACTAATGTGTTATATAGGAGGGTTACCATTTCATAAATCAGGTAATGAGTACATTCCTTTTTTTTTTTTGACGTCACCTCTTCCCTTGCTTTTCCCAAGATTTCTCCTCCCTGCTAATTTTGTATTTTGAGAACCTAATCTGGATAGCATAGCATAGGTCCCAGTAAATATGTCTCAATCTTTGTTCATGGAAATAATCTATCATTGTATCAGCCAAAAACTAAGTTTGACCAATTTTTACTTGCAAAAAAATCTTGAAATATTTAAAATAAACATCATATATCGTATAGGGCAAAGAGAAAGATTTGCCTGATGCTGAAATATACAAATTTGAACACAACAGAGAACTAGAGGAAATCGATAAGCAGAACTATGAAGACTATGAAGTCTTTTGCAAAGGAGACTTAGAACCCTAAACAATCATACAAGATGTTCTAATACAGAGTAGTGCATATTATGTAACACAAAAGTAGACAATTACATGGTTAAAAGTGTGCTTGGAAGCTGGATTTCAGAGTTCACATCTCAGATCTGTGTCTGCTGTGTGAACTTAGGCAAGTTACTTTTCTATTTCTATAACTTTTCCATTTGTAAAATACAGATTCTAATGTTTCCCTCATAGGACAATTAGGAAAGTAAAACATAAAGCCATATAATGCTGTTATTGTTATAATTCCCTATTTTATAGTATGACCCAAGCCAAATTTTGCAATTTATCATTAAGTATAATTATTAACAATTCTTTTGAAACACCTTTTGGGAATTACATAAAAGTTGTTTTAAGGAATAAAACTAGAGTTTTATTATTTGCTTTTCTTCTTCTTTTTTTCCTGGTGGTGCTGGAGATGGAACTCAGGGCTTTACGCATCTAGGCAAGTGCTCTACTACTCAGATGCTCTACCCAACTTCTTGCCTGCTGCTTTTGAACTCAGAGACCTATTAAGCAGATTTTGGGAATAAAAGTTTCCAAACCTTGTCTTGCCTTTTGTAGTAATGGCTTTATAATCCTTTTGTAAATTTATATTAATAAGCCTTTGTCCTCTGTGAAAGACTTCTAAATCTGATATTTGGCCCTTTAGATTTCTAGGAGGACTACAGTTTTGAGGTCCTTGGTATACCTGGCCCTCTTCCTTCCTCCTTTTCCTCTCTTGCTACTCCACCCTTCTCTCTCCCCTCCCTCCTTCAGTCTTTGGCTAGCTCAGGTTTTTGCTATGTAAAGTTTATAAAATTAGGTTCCATGTCTGTCATGTTTGTGGCTTTACCTCCAGTGCCAACTGTGGTGCACTGCCCATAATGTTTCAAAGAATCTGGTAAAAAAAAAAAATACAATTAAGGTCCTTTAGTATAGCAGTGAAACACAGAACCAGCAGAAGCTTTATGGCTAAATTAAAATTCCAGTTTTTCTAATTGCTTTGAGTCATTTAACAAAGTCATTTTTTTTTGCAAAACGATAATGCTCATTTTATAATTATTAGATTCTAACAAGATAACTGTATACTAAAATTCCTATTGTATATTACTTTCAAACTATAAGGTGGCCCTTTAAAATTGTATACAGTGCAGTTCTTCCCGTTAAGCAATTTCCAAAGAAGACAAGTCACAAGTTACAAAAATCTTATGAGTGTTTAGAGTAGGGATAGATGGCCTATTCCTGGAATCAGGAAAGGTGGTGGTATATGAATGGTCCTTCAGTGTAGCTCAATGATTAGTATTAAAAAAATGGGCAGGCATGTCTGAGTCAAACTAATAGATGACAAGTAAGGAAGGACATAAGAAGCTATTCAAAGCAACTCCTGAAGAAGGGCCAATTCGGGCTGAAATGTAGGGCCACACAGGGAAGGAGTGAGTGATACTCAAGAAATGTAGGGTGGGGCCATATGGGTAGTGTCTTATACTTTAATCCAATCGACATGAGAAATTATGGCATAAGAGGAAGATTACCGTGGCTGGCAGAAGTGCAAGATGCACTGGAAGGTGGAAAAGATCAGAGGTGGAAAGACCAGTTAGGAGAGACTATTGCATTGTTTTAGATGATGAAGGCCCATAAGTACCAGATGGAGCAATTCATCTGAAGGAATTCAGAGATGACACAGGCAGGCGAGGCACATTTCAGAAAGAGCCAACAGTGTGTGTGAGAGAGACAGGTGCCCCACACAGAAGAGAGAAGACCGAAGGAGCCATTTACACTAATGGGTAAGTTACAGGAGGGTATCTGGCTAGGATTTGGCTTGCGGTTTGTCTTGCACCACAATGCCACCGACCACCCTCCATCCCTCCTTCCCTTCCCTCTCCCCCCTCTTCATTCCTTCCTCCTTCCCTTCCTCTTTCTTCCATCCTCCCTTCCTTTCCTTTCTTGCTGATCCTGGCGCTTGAGCTCCACGCATGCACTACCCCTGAGCCTCGGCTCTAGGCTAGCGAGGTAAGAGTCTCACAGACTTTTCTCCTTGGGTTGGTGGTGAACAGGATCCTCAGATCTCGGCCTCCTGAGTAGCTAGAATTACAGGCGTGAGCCTTCCTCTCTTAATATCCCCCTTTTATTGGGAGCCTTCTCTCTGTCCCTCCATCTCACTCGGCTTCTCCCAGAGCTACCCGCATCTTGACCCTGCGCTCCTTCCCCATCGATTCACACCTGTTTCCCATAACTTCCTTAGCCAGGAGGACCAGAGGTCAGGGCCTTGGGCAGCCCGACGCCGCACCGCCAGATTTCTTATCGCCCTCGTTTGGGATGCTTCCATACTTGCGCCCCCACGGCTCGTGGACCAATGGGCAGCTTTTGGTTTTGAGACTCGGCCAGCTATTGGTTGGCTGAGCCGTGGTGAGAGATGGTGCGGTGGTTGTTCTCCGTCTGGGTGAGAGCTGTGGGTGGTTGTTAAGGCGACTGCTCGTGACGTAGTCCGTCAGGCCTCGGAGTCACTAGATGATTGGCTAGACGATCGGAAGATCGTTTGTGATTGGTCGCGAGCTCCTTAGTCCCGAGCGTGCGTAAGGGCAGATTTCCTTCCGCTCCGCGTCTCCGTTGGCTGGAGACGGCGGAGCACCGGCACTAAGGGGGGTTCGGTGGCCTCTAATGAGATCCGGAGGTGAGGCGGGCGTTGGCTGTTGAAGGGGACCCGGGGGAGAGGGGGATTGGGGCCGTGTTGGTAGCGGTACCGGGGAGTGATTGCGGGTCGCCCCTGGCCGGACCTGGCGGGAGCTGCGGTGCCGGTCACTTTGCGGGTGTGGCGGCCCTGTGCGTTCGCGCGCGCGCTAACTGCGGGGAGACGTCCTTGAGGCCCAGAGAGCCGGGTGGCGGCGGGCCCCGTGGCGAGGGTCCTCGCGGCCAGGGTCGCCGCGGGCCGGGCCGGTCCTGAAGGGCGGGCCGGCCGACCGGCCTTCGGGTGACTGCCGCCGCCGCCGGTGCCCTGGCGGGGCGTCGCCTCGTTGGTCCGCCCGGTCGGAAGTAAGCAGTACCGGCCGAGGCCGTCGGGACCCTGAGACCAACGGGCGCCCAGTAGGGCGACCCTGGACGCCCCCCTCTCCTGGAGGATTGCTGAGGGTTGGGGGCAGTGAAGCCGGCGGCGCTCAAAGCGGATGGGAGGAACGACCGCGGAGGCCGGGCGCTGCCCTAACTCCCGGCCTGTTAGGACCCGGACGAGGAAGAGCTCCGTGAACCCAAACCCTTGCACCCGCCGAGACAGATCCGGTCCTTTTTGTTGAGAACGGGCCGGCGCAATACCGACCCCAGAATAGGACCATACCCAGGACGCACTGGAGACTGCTTTCTCCTTCGTGCTCTTCAGCCTAGGGGCGTTGTCTCGTTGGTGTTGATGACTTTAGTTCAAACTTTGTAAGCTTTCCTTCTTGGGTTAGAGAAAACACACCTTGGAGGTGATTTTTGTGGTAGGAGCAGATGTGTACCCCCTTTCCCGCGGTCCTGTGGAATGTGTCAGTATTTGAGGATATGCCTTCTTGGACTTTGTCCTGAGGAAGGAAAGTATTTCAGAGCCATACTGAATAATCGTGCATAACTTCAGCTCCTTAAAAAGTAGTGATTTTTTTTTAAACTGGTGATTTTTCTACTGCTGTGAAAGACTTTTGAGAAGCTGTAGCAACAGGCCTTGCAGGAGTAGGGAGCCCAGCCCGAAATCCTTTTTGAGAATCATTTAGCACTGGACAGCCATGTATGTTTCTTCTGTGCTTTTCATCGGCTGCCTCTATTGATAATTTTGTGTTGTCCATTCATGTTACTGAACATCCAGAAGGCCCTTGGCAGAAATGAGATTTCCCATCCCTGGTGGTAGAGAATAATTTTGAGATAAAACTAGATTTTTTTTTAGGCCTGTTTTGTTAAAGTTGCGTTAAGGACATGAAGTAATATGAAGGGTTAAGGTAATATGCGTACATTTTAGCATTAACATGAAGACTTGTGTCTGACAGAAATGGCCATTTCTAGATGAAGTGTGCATGTGGGATTGTGTGGCATGTGTGTACATCCTAATCTCATGGTCTAATTTGTATTCATGGACAAATGGATCATATTATATAAACATCTTTAGGTTAATTCATAAAACTGCCAGTATTTGAAATTTGATTCCCACTCTCCCAGCCTACAGATAGCAGTTTCACGTGGTTCCACTTAATACTTTGACAACTTGGAGCTCCAAGTGAATGGAAAGATGTAATTTACAAATGCTATCTTGTAACAGAATTGCATGTAGAATCCAGCCTTCCTTTTTCCAGTGCAAGATCCTGATGACCTTTTAGGATAGTAGTTTGAGATGGGGAATTGAATGCTAGATCATCTTGGGATTAAAAGTGACTTCAATATAAGACAGTTTTTGCCTTCAAAGAGACATGTGCACATTAATTTGAGAACAGTGTAAAACACTATTGAATCAAATGATGAAGTACATAATACAGGAGAAGTGCTACTGAAAAGAAAGAAAGCATCCGAGTGCCATAGCATATTTTTCTGTGATTGGCCATGGGAGATGGGTTCAGTAGCAGACTGCATAAGTTTAAGGATTCCAGTGAACTTAATTAGCATACTATCAAAGACTGAAATGTTTCCAGTATATTTTCATTCTGAATAAGCAAAGCATAGGTTGCTTATTTCCCTTATTTTCTTCAAGTAAAAGTTGTTTTCTATTAATACTGTGTTGAATTTTCATAAAGACTGTGTTGAATTTGTATGGGATGTTCTGTAGTCTGATAGTAATACTTGGAATTGCTGATGAAGGTGAAGATTAGATCTTATGGCATATGCTTGCTTTGCATGATCACGGAGAAATGGGAAGGGTACTGTGAGAAATGAGATTGTTTATAGTTATGGTTACTTGGGACCTACCTTTGTAGGTTGCTCAGGTTGCATTTCCACATAGGGCAGCTGTTTGGGGGCTGATGAATACATTTTTCCTGAATGTTGAAAAGGTAACATCTGGGGGTGAGGAGGGGGGAAGGAGAAAGTCCAGAATTAACAATGCCACCAGAAAACCTATTTGAAGCTAAACATAATGTGCCTAATATTTAAATGTGGATTTATGCTGAATGAATTTGTAATCTAAATTTGAACTGCTTCCTGGTTGCAGTTCAGATTTTAATTGAATTTTTAATAGTGTTGAAAAATATTGCTTCATGGGTTGAAAGAAGATTTTCTAGCCTGTTTGTGATTTATTTATGTTTAGGTATGGAAAATTAGAAATAATTTCAACATAGATTTTAGACTAATTTACTTTCTGGGACATTGAATAGAAAGTATTTTATTAAATAGAAAGTATTTTGCTCATTTTCCAGATATTTGTTCAATTCTGCTATATCTAAGATACTGGAGAGCAAAATGACAACATTCAAGATGCAAGGTTGAAAGATCAGGATACATGCCACATTTGGAGACCTTTAGACATTGCCAACCTTTTAAAATTGTGATCCACAATTCTTAACCACAGTAAGAAATGTGTGTTATGTTGGAAGCCAGAATATGCATATGAATAGTTTTACTACAGATGGAGTTTCAAGAAATAATACTTATCCATACTATGTGTCTTCCCTAACCTCTACTTTAAATATTATTTTTTAAAATTTCATTTAAAATATTTAAAATATCCTTACCAACAAAATTAACTTTGTGGTTTTGGATTAATCCAGTAAAGGGTTGTGACCTACAGCTTGAAAACTAGTTAATCTGGTTGGTGGCTAAGTGTAGAGAATGTAGAGTGATGCAGTTGATTACCAAGAGATGATACTTGGGTAACTGCATCATTCCTAAAAGCTACTTTTCTTTTTCCTTTCCCATATCTTTTTAGATAGGTGAGTGCTCTCTTTTCTTCATTTACTTCCTGTCTTTAAATGATGAATCACTTTCTTAATAAATATGAGACTGATTTGAATTCTTGCTAGAGTGGCAAATCTGTGAGTTTAGTTTTTAAATTATAATTTTATTTTTGAGTAATTGCAAGCATGGAGATATTTAGTCCTAAGCTCATATCTCTTCGGGGTTATGTTGGGAATCAGTTTAAATCCTGTTCTTAATGCTTAACCTGTTTTAGTCTAGTTTGATTAGTAGTAAAAGTTTAGGAGCATTTTATATTTAATGTTTAGTCTTCCATCTCTTATTTTTGATCCATAAAGCAGCCACATCAAAGTCTTGCCTTTTTTTTTTTAATGTAGAAACATCTATCAGAAAAGACTTTTCCTAGTGATAGATATTATTATAGGTGTTTGATGGACTGTAATGGGTTTCTACCCTTGAGCAGCTTATAGATTAATATGCTTCAGGAGTAGATTGAAACTTACCTTTGTGTAATCAGAATGTAAATGATGAAGAGCTGCTCATGTGTTTTATAACCAAGTAATTAGAAAATGCAAAGTGTTTTTTTTTTCTAAAACTTGAATTTTTTTTTTAAAGAAATGACTTGGGGTTATTGAGTCCTGTAGAACACTGGGCTTGGCTCTAGAAGCACAAAGGCTGAGAGATTTACCCAGCTCGTATGAAGACAGACTTGGGAGAGGGGGTTCTGACCTTTATACTCTGCTCTGGCACTCATCTCTGTATCCTTCTGTTCTTCTGTGCTCACCTTTGGCCATCTCTGCCCTGTGGTAACCACTGTGTCTGCCTGCCTCCGTGTTTCTCCACAACTCCCAGAGCCCACTGGGCATCTCTGTGACTATATTATTATAAGCACGAAATGACTGAATGAATGACCAGCAAGCATTTTTCAGGAGGAGGAGGAAGAGGAAAGGAGGGAGGAGGGAGAAAAGGATTGCTTATCAGTTGGTTGCCAGTGGACCATGAGTCCTTTTAATTTTAGCATTATTTTCCACAATCATAAGGAACACTCATTGTTTCTGTACAAGACACTCTGCATACAAGGCAGGGTTCACAGTATACTTAAGACTCTTCCTTAAAAGTCCAGTGAGCTGTATACCAAGCATTCTCATTTGTTCCTCCCAGGATCCAAGGATTCTGCAGCTACGATGTTGTCGAGACTTTTCCGAATGCATGGCCTCTTTGTGGCCTCCCATCCCTGGGAAGTCATAGTGGGGACCGTGACACTGACCATCTGTATGATGTCCATGAACATGTTCACTGGTAACAACAAGATCTGTGGTTGGAATTATGAGTGTCCAAAATTTGAAGAGGTCAGTGAAATTATCTTGATACTGACTAAATTATACTTCTGTTTCTAAAGAGTATCTCCTTTTAGAAAACTTGTAGCCAAAAAATTATGTCTTTCTTTTAATACTCATGAATTTATCTCAGATTTGTTTACTTACATGGGAATGGTAATGCAATAGATATGCTCTTGACTTTTTGTATACAAGAGAGTAGAATTGATTTAATTGAAAAATAAATCTTTTATAAGTGACTGCCAGTGAAAGATGTAATAAATTGGCATTACAGTGAGTTATTTAAAAATTCATTTAATATTTTATTTGTATTTTGATACTTTTTGTTTTTTTATTGATACTCTGAATAAGCAATATGCTTACATTTATATTGTGGTAATTTGTAAGCTAATGATAGTTAAAATAAAAATTCTTATTTTTATTGCTTTTTTAATAAGTTCATGCTATTGGAACTTCATTTTTTATTCCTTCCAATAGGATGTTTTGAGCAGTGACATTATAATCCTAACGATAACAAGATGCATAGCGATCCTGTATATTTACTTCCAGTTCCAGAATTTACGCCAACTTGGATCAAAATATATTTTAGGTAATGCATTTATGTTTCTTATGGCCAGCAGATTTTTAATTTCCTATTCAGATGAACAGTTTGTTCACATCATGTGTTTGGAAATGTGTGTATTGCTACTGGGTAGTAGTAGTTTCCATTCTTACTACTAGGAACTAGACATTCTAAAACTTTGGGACTTTATTTAATAATATGGAGAAAATTTGTACTCTATCTCAGTGTCTTTGGGTAAACTAAGTATTACTATTTTTGTAATGAAGAGTAAAGGTTTTTCAGTGTTGAATTTTGTCTATTTTAGGTATTGCTGGCCTCTTCACAATTTTTTCCAGTTTTGTATTCAGTACAGTTGTCATTCACTTTTTAGATAAAGAACTTACAGGCTTGAAGTAAGTATTTAAAGCCAAAAATGTATGTTTTTCTCAAAATATAATTTTAAGAACTTATTCCATGTGCTGTAAAAATAATACATGAATTTATAGGAGAGTAGAAACTGAGGAAATTTTTCATGTAACCTTACTATTAGCTAATTTTAACTGCTGTTAGAATGTTAACATGTTCTTTCACACTTATGCTTAAACTTTCTAACATTATACTAATTTTTTTTATAATTGTATGCTTTTAATAATAGCATCTTTCTAAGTCCTTAATATTTAACTGTATTTTCAGGGATGTGCTATGTATTCTCCTATATCAATATTTTATAGTTAATCTTCTAATGTTGGATTATTAGGTTAATTTTCCTTGTTAATAACACCAGTGAGTATATTTGTAGACAAATTTTTGTTCATTCATAATTATTTCCTTAGGATATATCTCTGGGATTGGGATAGCCTTTCTTTTTGATAGCTTTTTTTGGTGCTACTTACCATCTAGAAAGTTTATTTTATCCTTCTACAAGTAGTGATTAATGAACAGTTTTAAAAAAATATATTCCATGTTTTTCTCAATACTAATTTAACGTATTTTTTGTTTTTTGTTTCTGTACTGGGGTTTGATCTCAGGGACTAGGTACTTAGCTTTTTCACTCAAAGTTGAGTCACGGCTCCACTTCCAGATTTTTGGTGGTTATTTTGCAATAAGTATCTTTTGGACTTCCCTGCTTGGGTTGGTTTCAAACTGTGATTCTTGGATCTCAGCCTCCTGAGTAGCTAGGTGCTAGCCACGACTGCTGGCCCTTAGGATTTTTTAAATTAATGACATTTTTCTATGAAGTTAATAGCATTAGTGAGTTTTTCCATATAAATATATTTACATTTTATTATTAAAAAAATTGGTGGTATTGAAGTTTGAACTCCGAATCTTGTACTTGTTAGGAAAGAGCTCTACCACTTGAATATACACATACCTTTTCAGCCTTTTTTGCCTTTTAGTTTATTTTTTAGGTAAGGTTTTGTGCTTTTGCCCAGGCTAGCCTTGAACCTTGGTCTTTTTTCACTTGTGACTCATGGTAGGTATGATTACAGGTATGCAGGAGTATACCAGTACACCCAGTTTGCATTTTAGGCATAGGATCATCCTAACTTTTTTGTGTGTGTACTGGCCTTGTACTTCCCATTGTAGTAGCTGGAATAAGCATATAAGCTCATCTGTCATTTTTAATAGCTATTGTGATTAGTATGAGGATATACCAAAGAAGTGTTGAGAAAACTTTTTGATCTGCAGAAAGGTACATATACTGTAGGATCATACAAAATATGGAGGAGAGTTTTGGTTTAAGGTAGATTTTTTTTTAAACCTATTTTTCCTCTTACTAAATGTATCTACTCTTTTTATTTTTCCCCAGTGAAGCTTTGCCTTTTTTCCTACTTTTGATTGATCTTTCCAGAGCAAGTGCATTAGCAAAGTTTGCTCTAAGTTCTAACTCACAGGTAAGTTTTACTTACATAAGATAGGAATGTGATTAAAATTCCCTTTTTAAAGTTTGTTTATACCAATAGGAAAAATTACAGTTTCTTCATAGCTTAAGATTCGGAGACTTCCTTACATTTTCAGTTTAATTCTGAAGCACTAAGAATGATCTGTATAAGTGCCCAAAGAATAGTCCTTTTTATCCAGTGACTCAAATAAGATTTCATAGTTACTGGAATTTAGCTTTTTCTCTGGTCTGAAAGTTTTCTATTTTTGAAAGTTTTCAGAAATTACAGTTAAATGACTTGGATAAGTGGAAAAAAATCTTTTCTAGTAAGATAATAGAGAACAGATAGGATCTGATGGGAAATAACAACAGGGAAGATTCAATTTTAAGCCCTTTGAATTGTTACTGGGATTATTTCCCATCCTAAGTATCATCTTAATGTTCTTAAAAAAGAAAATCTTAACTTTAGCCTAGTGCCTGTAATCCTAGTTAGTCAGGAGACTGAGCTCTGAGGATCATGATTTGAAGCAAGCCCAGGCAGGAAATTCCATGAGACTGTTATCTCCAATGAACTATCAAACAGTCAAAATGTAGCTGTGGCTCCAGTGGTAGAGTGCTAGCCTTGAGCACAAAAAGCTCAAGGATATCACCTGGGCCCTGAGTTCAAGCCCAAAGACCTACACACAAAAAAAGAAAAACCCTTTACCATTTTTATAAGCAATCTTGTATCATAGTATCTTGAATATAAAACAGCTTATCAATCTTAAACCAAGCTCCCTTCTATATTTTGTATGATCCTGCTGTGTATGATTATGTGTTCAATGAATGTTTGTGATCGTTTGAATATGATGATAAGGAAATGATTTAAGTTTTATAACATGGCCTCATAAAAAATTTAAAGCTTCTGTTGGTGGTAGCCAAATATAATATTGTGTAGGATTTAATTAGGTGGAATTTAAATGACAGGATTCTTGCAATACCTTGAAAGAATATTCCCTAGAACAATTGGTAAGTGAAGCAGGGTATAATATATGAGTTCGTTTTCATTAATTTCTCTGTATTACTACTGTTCTTAGTTATGAATTTCATCATATGAAAAGTACATTTGGTTTTAGTGTAAGTCCTAGGACTCTTATATTTTAGAAATTACTTTGTTCTTTACCCTCATTATGTGTTTGGTCTGTTTATTAGGATGAAGTAAGGGAAAATATTGCTCGTGGAATGGCAATTTTGGGTCCCACATTCACCCTTGATGCTCTTGTCGAATGTCTTGTGATTGGTGTTGGAACCATGTCAGGTTTGTAAGCAATTTAATAATAACTGACATTTAATAATATTTTTAGCAAGTCACTGAAGAGGAAAAAAATATCCTAGATTTGCAGCTTGTTCTTAAATTCTGACTTCAGTTACTCTGAAAGTTGAAATTGTATCAATGTGTGGATGTATTTGACTTGTGCTTGTTCACTTTGCTGCAAAAATGTAGTAGTTGATATTTTCACTCTTGCCATTTTCTTTTTTTTGAAGGGCAGTGGGTATTTGTTTTTTTGGTCTAAGTTCAGGGGCTTGAAATCAGGGCCTGGGATTGGCTCTGAGCTTTTTAGCTCAGAGCTAGTACCTACTACTTGAGCCACAGCTCCACTTCTAGCTTATTGGAAATAAGTGGCTCATGGACTTACCTGCTTAGGCTGGCTTTGGACCATGATCCTCAGATCTCAGCCTCCTAAGTTGCTAGGATTACAAGCATGAGGGACTGTCACCCACCTTGCCATTTCCTCTATGTTCTGTTTTGTAGTATATTTTTTGTGTGTGGTTTTTAACAATTATATGCCAAGCTTGATCTGCTCTTGCTTTTCTCAGACTAAATTAGTGAGTTGATTCTTTGAGTTTTAATTGCCATTTTAGGAGACAGTGCAGGAAGAGTCAAGTACCTAATAAGGTGGTTGGGAAGAGTTAAACAGATAGTAAGTCCATCTTAGCGAGTACCCAGTATGTTTCAGCATGTTTCCTCATCCTTCATTGGTACTAATTAAGTACTAATATATAGGGTGCAAATTATTGCCTTGCCGGAAAATTAGTATCATGGTATTGGGGAGGTCTCCTAATTATTAGGGCTGGATTTTATGGCTTTCTCTTGAAGATCATACTTGTATTTTTTGAGCTAGGGTTTGCTATGTAATCCAGGCTAGTCTGGAAGCCAAGATCTTCCTGCCTCTGGCTCTCAAGTACTGGCATTATATGCATGTGCCACCATGGCCTGCTGAAGATTATGCTTATTTGGTTAACTATTATTCTGGTATTTTTCCTTATCCTCCTTAATAAGAGAGGCTTATTCCTTCAGAAATAACTTGCTTTAAAAGCAAGTAGTTGATTTCTGTTAGGTAATATACTAAATCAATAATGTGACTTTTGTGGTTAAAAATGAAATAAAGTCAGTAGTTAATATTGGAGGAATAGAAGTTTTCTTCAGAGTGGCTTATCCTTTATATTCTTATCCAAAAACAAGATGTTGCCATTTGCTAAGAGAAAGATAAAAACATTTTTGGCTTATTTTATATATATATTAAAACAAAATTACCATGCCTGGTCTTTGGTTGTTGGGAACTTGAGAAGACAAGGTCTCTCTGCTTTTGAGGGATCAAGAGATCCCTAGTAATTCTTGTTGTTCTCTAAGCTTTAGCTTCACTGTTGAGTTAATTCTATATCCCGTAGATGGCAGAGTTTACTATAGTAATATTAAAAAAAATTAGCAAAAATACACAAATGAGCTTTATTACGTTTTAATGTACGTTGATCAGATACTTGGATCAAATTCTATAGCATATCAATACAATGTTTTTAAACCCCTTTTCTCCTTATGCCACCTTTTGAACGGTTTTTGGTGGGTTTATGTTATTTTCTATAATAATAATCACTCTCCCTTTCCTTTTCCTCTTTTCTGTACCCATATTTTCACATAAGTGTTTTTCTGCGGGGAAAGTCATTTATACATATGGTACCAAATACATGTAGTTTAATGCTTTGAATTTTTCTCTGAACAGGGGTGCGTCAACTAGAAATAATGTGTTGCTTTGGCTGCATGTCAGTTCTTGCCAACTACTTCGTGTTCATGACTTTTTTCCCAGCATGTGTGTCATTGGTATTAGAGGTATGGACACATCTTACTTATGGCATTAGCAGAACAGTAATATTGCACATTGCATCAGTTAAATAAAATTAGAACCTTTTAATCTATTGCTTTTACTTTTTAGCTTTCTCGGGAAAGTCGTGAGGGTCGTCCAATTTGGCAGCTCAGCCATTTTGCCCGGGTTTTGGAAGAAGAAGAAAATAAACCAAATCCTGTAACCCAGAGGGTCAAAATGATTATGGTAATAGCAGTTTTCTTAATCTGTCAGTTTACAATTGGAGCAATTTTTTTAAAATTTCCTTTTTCTTTATAGTCTTCAGCTTCTAGTGAGATTTCACTTTATTCCCTTTTCATTTGCTCATTTCTTTGAAGCTGCTAGTCTTTGTCTCCCCACTAAATGCCTCCACCTCTCTTTGAAACCTGTTTGGGATGTTTGAATAGTAATGGGGGTCTACTGTTAGTCATGTAGTGACTTTCTTATGCTGAGGAGAAGCCAAGGAAGATGGTGGTATGGTTGTTAGTTGTTAGGGACGAGAAATTTAAATTCTAGTAAGAATCAAAAGATACATAATTTTTACATTTTATTTCAGTCTTTAGGCCTGGTTCTTGTTCATGCTCATAGTCGCTGGATAGCTGATCCTTCTCCTCAAAATAGCACGGCAGAACACTCAAAGGTTTCTTTAGGACTGGATGAAAATGTGTCCAAGAGAATTGAACCAAGTGTTTCCCTTTGGCAGTTTTACCTTTCCAAGTAAGTGTACAGAAGCTTAACTGTATTGTTCATTAGTCATAGTACTCTGTGCCCTTTAAGTATAGGTTGTACATTTTATATTTGCTTTCTTTATTTAGAATGATCAGCATGGATATTGAACAAGTTATTACCCTAAGTTTGGCTCTCCTTCTGGCTGTCAAATACATCTTCTTTGAACAAGCAGAAACAGAATCTACACTCTCATTAAAAAATCCTATCACATCTCCTGTTGTGACCCCAAAGAAAGCCCAAGAGAACTGTTGTAGACGAGAGCCTCTGCTGGTGAGAAATAACCAAAAATTCCAGACTGTGGAGGAAGAGACTGGGATAAGCCAAGAAAGAAAAGGTAATTTATTCCCCATTTCTTCCATTGATTTGTCACAGCATCCTTTTAAACAGTGATTTTCAATGTTTTGAGATTTCTTTTGGTCTTTTGAACAGTTGAAGTGATAAAACCTTTACTGGCTGAAACTGACACCTCAAACAGAGCTACATTTGTGCTTGGTGGCTCCTCCTTACCCAGTACTCCATCAATAAGGGGGACACAGGAACCTGAGATTGAACTTCCCAAGGAACCTCGATCTAATGAAGAATGTCTGGAGATACTTGGTAATGCAGAGGTGAGGCTAAGCATCAACACCTACTTGGAAATTTTCATTAAAAAGGAGCTTTTTTTTATTAAAGGAAAAACTAGAATCTTCTGGGTACTAACTTCTACGCATTGTGTTGCATGTTTTATACTTATGATGAGTGAGGTATGTGGAATTATCTCTTATTTCTCAGATGAGAAACCCTACAGGAAATGGAGCAGGATCTGAAATATTCTGGTTCTAGACTCAAAAACTAACACTCATTTTTTATTGCTTTTCTTTGAGATGAGCAACTATTGCATTTTTTTCATGGGTGTAGACTGAAAGTGTATATCACAGAGGTGAACTTCAAAGTTAGAAGAAATTTTGTCATTTTTGTTGAAGGTTGAACTAATGTGGAAGCTAGGTTTCTTCTCCCTCACAATCATACAACAACAGTCATTTTAACACAAATACTATATTCCATCCATATCTCCTTAATCTGATTGACTTAAAATTTTTTTTCAAGTAGAACATATTCCTTTCCCTTCCTCAGCTTTATTCAGGCAGGATGGCAAATAAAATTATAGAAAGAAGACTAATTAACCATGTAAATATATTATTTGTCCAAGAACTAAAATGTAAACATATACAGTAGTTTGGACAACACTTGTAATATCTAATATACACTTTAGGTTTGTACAGTCATATTTAATTTTCTATTTACTACGTATTAATGAAAATCTGTCTTTGTAATGTAAAAATAACAGTGCTATGGTATTCATAGTCACTTGGCATTGCTTAATTACATGATTTTTAAACAATGTTGCAATATCTTTCTATTAAAAATGGCAGTGGTAGTTGTAGTTGGGCACTGGTGGTCCTAGTTGCTTAGGAGATTGAGATCTGAGGATCACAGTTCAAAGCCAGCCTGGACAGGAAAAGCCCACAAGACTGTTATCTCCTATCTCTATCTTGAGCTTGTAGCTTAGGTGGTAGAGTACTAGCCTTGAGCAAAAAAGCTCAGGAACAGCGCTCAGGACCTGTGTTCAAGCTCCAGGAATGGCACAAAAATAAAATAAAATGAAATAAATAAAAATGGCAGTGATATAAAAGACTTATATAATTTAGAATTGTGAATAATGAAAGTATCATCTTTCAGGTCTTCTATCACCTCCCTCTCTGATCTCTGTAACCTTTTCTTGTTTTCCTAATTCTTTAGAAAGGTGCGAAGTTCCTTAGTGATGCCGAGATCATACAATTGGTCAATGCTAAGCATATCCCAGCTTACAAATTGGAAACTCTGATGGAAACCCATGAACGAGGTGTATCTATTCGCCGACAGTTACTTTCCAAAAAGCTTCCGGAGCCTTCTTCTCTCCAATATCTACCTTATAGAGATTATAATTACTCCTTGGTATGTTCTTTTACTTCTTAGAGGTTTGCCTTGTAGCTTCTTCAGTCTTTTTTCCTTTGACTTTTTTTTTAATAGGTATTATATTCTTTCAAAAATTATTGTAATTTCGTATTCTGTTTATGTAGGTCATAGATTATTTTTCCTGTTATCATTATTGGAAATGTTTTGGCATTTTCAAGTGCTTTTAAAAAGCAAATATAATTTTTGTTGAAAAAACGTACTCAAGAATTAAGTTTTAAGAAAGTTACTGAGCATGGAGTGGCTGTGTATTTGCAATGTAGATATGAAATTCACTCATTGTCTGACTTTGCAGGTGATGGGAGCCTGTTGTGAGAATGTTATTGGGTATATGCCCATCCCTGTTGGAGTAGCAGGACCTCTGTGCTTAGATGGAAAGGAGTTTCAGGTTCCAATGGCAACAACAGAAGGTTGTCTTGTGGCCAGCACCAATAGGGGCTGCAGAGCAATAGGAGTAAGTTGGAATTTAATTTGCTTGTTTAAAAATATACCCTTAAGCAAATAAACCCTTAAGTAACCAGATTTGGGGATAATCAAGGACACCTTGTGGGACAAGCAAAAGTGTCTTTCGGATTCATGTGCTTCTGTATTTTGTAGCTTGGTGGAGGTGCCAGCAGCCGAGTCCTTGGGGATGGGATGACTCGAGGCCCGGTGGTGCGTCTTCCCCGGGCTTGTGACTCTGCAGAAGTGAAGGCCTGGCTTGAAACACCTGAAGGGTTTGCAATGATCAAGGAGGCCTTTGATAGCACCAGCAGGTGTGTGAAAGCCTTTATATACTTGTCCATGTTCATTTCAGAACCATTTTCTATGATTGCTAAATATTACAATTACTGATATTTTGTCTGCTAAATATAACACAAGAGTCCCAGTTTGAATTTACTCTCTCTCTTATGTGAACTGTTTATGCCTGTTTGGGGGTGGGGAGAAGTTGATTCCAATACTTCCATACAAGTAAGTTAGTATAAAAGGGTGTAAAATAATAAATAAATTTGGCTAGACTTTTGTTTTGCCTTGAGAATTATCTCTGGGGGAAAAAGGATTAAGCAGGATTAGTAGATGTTTACCTTGGATGCTTAAAGTTGTTTAATGAGTATGCAAAAAGCATAATCCTTATAACTGATAACCCCTGGTATAGTTTGTACTAGTTTTTTTTTTTTAAATTTAGAGTATTTAGTTTTATCATGAAAATGTTGTCTATAGCCCATCTTCAGTGGTCTCTTTGTTTAATTAAAGGAGAAAATGAGTAATCTTTTTGAGATTCCTCCAACAATATTCATCTTAAGCATGAAACAACAACTATTTAAGGTCACGTCCATCATCTTAAAAGAATAAATGTCTTCGCTTCTTTCCTTTACAGATTTGCACGCCTACAGAAACTTCATGTGAGTATGGCTGGACGCAACCTTTATATACGGTTTCAGTCCAGGACAGGAGATGCCATGGGCATGAACATGATTTCCAAGGTGAGCATGCGCACACTGTGTGTGAGAGCGGCTGCAATGAGAAGCTGTAGGAGTAATTGTCCCAGGAGACAGGAGTTGGCTGAGGGAGATGAGAGTGAGGATAGACTTACCTATGGCCCTTTCAGGTACCATGTACATGAAAAGATCAATATTGGGTTATCATAGATTTTGATACATAAATCAGGCATGGCATTGTACATATTCTGAGCCAACTAGGAAGAATGTTGAGTTTAATATTTTAGAATTTTGTCTAAAAACAAAACTTTGTTTGCTGAGGTATGGGATTGGGGAGGGTGGGGTGCACAGATTCTGTTTCAGTGGTAGAGTGAAAGTACATGCTTATTAGCACACATGAAGTTTTAGGTTCAGGTCCCAGCATTACTACCTCACTCAGGAAAAAAGAACAGGCTTGTAAAAAAAACCTTGAAACCTCTTCTAGAGACTTTGAGACTTTGTCTTTAAGGTGTTAGGTATATATGATGTATGTGTATGGTCTGCTTGTTTCCTAAGTTTGTGTATGGCTTATATTTTGCTGATATTTGTTATTTTCCGGATAAAAAATTAAAATCAGATCTGTTTATAAGGGCTATTCAGAAAGGAAAATGACAAAAAAATTGAAGGTAGGATCTTGAGAAGATATTCACATTCATGGTCAGAGTAGCATTACTCATAGTAGCCAAGACGTAGATACAACTGGAGTGTCTATTGGTGGATACAGGGACAAATAAGGTGGATGGATGTTTAAGATGGGAGGATATTCTGACACCTGGACAAATGAGTCTTGAGAGGACATTAGGTTGGGTGGAAGAAGTTAGTCACAAGATACAAAGTCTGATTCTACTTTTTTCTCAGGTAGTTAGAACAGTCAAATTCATAGACTACAGTTTACCCAGGGATGTTAGGGAGAGTAGAAAATAGGTGATGCTTGTTCAGTGGGTTGTAGAGCTTTAGGTTTTGTAAGATAAAAGGAGGCTGGATAATAAAATTTGAATAAACCTAACACTTTTATGTACATTACCACAATTTTAAAAAATTTGCAATACATAGGTTTTGAATTGTTGTTACTCATTAATTGAATTAACAACTAATTAGAAGTCATTGGAAACTTGTTCATATTTTATGTAATGTAAATCTACCAGCTTTCCATTAGTAACATTAAGTTTAATGATCTACTTTTCTTTACAGATTATTAGCCTTTAGACAACAGTTTACTAAGTATTACATGTTGATCAAAGATTGAGTTACTTTGCAGTGACATGAATGTATTTCTTGTATCCTGTTTGGTATTTTGACTTTCTACATTCATTAATGTCTATAACAAACTCATTTTTCAAACTTAGAAACACATTAGGGATCTGTACGTAATCAAGTTACTCAGTGATGATTATGAAATAGCTTTTTTTTTGGTCAGTCTTGGGGCTTGAGCTCAGGGCCTGGGTGCTGTCCCTGAGCTTTTTTAAAAGCTCAAGGCTAGCATTTTGAGCCAAAGCACCACTTCCAGCTTTCTGGTAGTTAATTGAAGAAAATAGTCTCATGGACTTTACTGCTTGGGCAGGCTTTGAACCGTGATCCTCAGATCTCAGCCTCCTTAGCAGTTAGGATTATAGCCATGAGCCATGGACACAGCTGTTTCTTTTGCATTTTACTTCTCTGAAGTATGTTCTTCTCTGTACTTAAAGAATATGTGTAAACAAGCCTTGTGATCTATAAGAATGAATATGCATTTTAATTTTGTTGTGGTTAACAGGGTACAGAGAAAGCACTTTCAAAACTTCAAGAGTATTTCCCTGAAATGCAAATTCTAGCTGTTAGTGGGAACTACTGTACTGACAAGAAGCCTGCTGCTATAAATTGGATTGAAGGAAGAGGAAAGACTGTAGTTTGTGAAGCTGTCATTCCAGCCAAGGTTGTCCGAGAAGTGAGTGATGGGTTGCATATCTTACCTTTTTCGTTTTGTAATCTTCAGTTGGATACAAACATTGGGGAAAAGAGTATTGATATTGTTAATAAAATTAGATTTATGAGGTAGCCTTTCCACTAACGTAGCTGTTTTACTGTATAGCACCCCTTTGTGTGGGGCATTCACAGAAACAAAACTTCCAGATAATCTATTTATCCCCGACATGGCTTAAACTGGACTACATGTAAATAATTTTTTTTTCTGGAGATACATAGATCTGGGTCACATGCCTGTTGACTCTCCTGGAGGAAGACATAAAATGTTCACTACTGTCTTCTAGGTATTAAAGACAACCACAGAAGCTCTGATTGATGTAAATATTAACAAGAATCTGGTGGGCTCTGCCATGGCTGGAAGCATAGGAGGCTACAATGCGCATGCGGCAAACATTGTCACTGCTATCTACATTGCCTGTGGACAGGTGAGCGCTCCTGCCTCCACTTCTCTTTTCTGTTGTTCTAAAAAGATAAAGGGTATACTGTACATCTTTTTGGTTTTTTTCTAGGACGCAGCACAGAATGTTGGTAGTTCAAATTGTATTACCTTAATGGAAGCAACTGGTCCCACAAATGAAGACTTATATATCAGTTGCACCATGCCCTCAATAGAAATTGGAACTGTGGGCGGTGGGACCAACCTGCTACCTCAGCAAGCCTGTCTACAGGTACGACAGACACATCATGCACAGAGTCCATTGACTTCGAGCCTAGCTATGACTTCATGGGATTCTGTGTCTGACACTGCACATTACTCCCCTCCAAACTGTGGCTTAACTAGTGTGACCAGATGAGCACAGCTTATTCAGGCATATCAGTTTCAAGAGTAGATTAAGTATAAAGATGAATATGCATTGCTGTTCAGCTATCAAATCTTGGGAACGTAGTATTTTCAGAGTCTAGTTCTAGTCTGATGCCCTCATAGTTCTAGTTTTAATAATTGTTTTTCATGACTTCAAGGCTGAATTTTCATCTCTCTTGCTCTGGCTACAGATGCTAGGTGTTCAAGGAGCATGCCAAGACAATCCTGGGGAAAATGCCCGGCAGCTTGCCCGAATTGTGTGTGGTACAGTGATGGCTGGAGAGTTGTCACTGATGGCAGCCTTAGCAGCAGGACACCTTGTCAGAAGTCACATGATTCACAACAGGTCAGACTTCAAGACATCTTGAATATGTTTTCTCTATACTTTAAAAGAAACACAATGCTAGGCGCTGTTGGCTCTGCCTGTAATCCTAGCTACTTAGGAGATTGAGATCTGAGGATCGTGGCTCAAAGCTAGTCCATGCCACAAAGTCCTTGAGACTCTTTATTTCGAGAAAACCGTAAGTGGCAAAGTACTAGTGTATTAGTTTTGAACACAAAAGCTCAGGGACAGTGCCAAAGCCCTGAGTTTAAGCCCTGCAACTGACAAAAAAAAAATGCAGTATAAATCTTAATACTTATGTCTCAAAAGTTTCCATTTCTGACATTCCAGTTACTTGTCTTTTTTTTTCCCCTACTGTAGGTCAAAGATAAATTTACAAGCCCTTCAAGGAACTTGCACCAACAAGGCAGCGTGAATTGCCTGACAGTTCTGAACTGCAACACGGGCATTGGGTTCTAAAAGACTAACATAAAATCTGTGAATTAAAACTATCAATGCAGTGTCTTGTGGAAGATGGGTAGACGTGATCAGGGAGACCACTGCTTGCTATGTAACGCTTTCTTCAAGAGTTGGTTCAAGGTCCTTCCGTGCAAACTCCTCAGATGTGAAAACAGCATAGCACGTTACATGCTGTGCTCTTTGGGAAAATCTCAACATGGATATGCTTGAATGCATTACAGATGATTCCACCACTCATTCTGGAAGGCAATACAAGCTGGAGAAAGGTGTTTTTGTTTGAAGTGGTGATGTTCACGGTGATCTGTATGAGATTGCTCTTCCCCCCAACCTTATGGGTTAAAAATGGATTTTTAAATTATATGGTAGCTGATAAACTTCTAATTTTATAGTTAATTTATTTAGTCTAGGTTGTAGAACTTAGTTGTTTATTTTTTGTAAACTAATGATTCATTTGGTGCTGGTATTTTGATTTTGGGGAAATAACCAACATTATTCAGAAAGGGACCTGCTTCAGGGGAAAAACTTTTTCGCAAACGACAGAAAAATGTGCTAAACAGTGCTAAATAGTTCTTAATCAGGGAAACAACTGCATTTCTCTCTGTAGGCTATTTGTTCCAAGAGGCCTCTTGTCAAAATATGTGTTTGCTGAGACTAGCTACAGTATGTTTTTAGCATTATGCTTGCAGAAAGTCTTATGCTTGTCGATGAATACATCACAGCTGTTAATGTTAATTAGCCGAGGGTGACTTGTCAAGTATAAGCAAGCCTCTGACCTTTTTCAGAATTTAGAGTGTGGTAACACACTTTTGAAAAGAACCCTATCATTTCTCTAAGCCAACTTTTATTTCTTTAAAGACATTTATATTGGTTTAGCTGAAAAATCTAGGTTTTTTTTTTCATAAGCAACTATCAAATATGTATATGTTGTAATAAAGCTTCTTAAGCTAGTTTCTTGAAAGTGTTTTAAGAAATAAAAGAAAAATCAACTTGTATACTGAAACACTCTAGCTTGGGCTGAGAAGATGAAGGTGTTTAATGCCCAGGAATCCTTGGCTTGCTTGTCAAGCCTAATGAAGGGAAAGCTAGTTTGCAGAGCTAATGACGGAACCATGTGAATGGCCCTGGAGCTATCTGCCTTGCTCCTGTGGCCAGGAGGTTGGTGACTGAATCATTTACACAGGCTCTGATCGACCCATAAAAGCTCCCAGCTTCCTCAGGGGGTCAGCAGAGTTGTTAAGTCTTAATTTTTTTTTAATGTACAAGTTTTGTATAAATAATAAAGAACTCCTTATTTTGTATTACATATAATGCTTCAAGTTTGGTCTTGAAAAGCTGATGTCTGTAGAAGATGAACTCTGAAACATTCCAGTAATGCTGAGGCAGCATGGAGAGCCTTAGTGAAGTGTCTACAGTTATTATCGTGGAAGACTGATCTTTCCTGTCGTTTGTAAAGTTGAAATTGCTCCTCTTGTGACTTTTCTGCCAGTGACTTATTTATCTGAGCTTTACCTGGAAGTGGCAGTGGAATGTGTGTTCATTTTGGTGACTGTAACCAGTATCATCTTGGTAAACTAATGTTTTGTACAATTACTAAATCGTATACCTTTTATTATAGAGTACTTTTTTCTAGTTCTAGTAAATTATGAAAAGGAAGTTCATACTGATTAAGTGTAAGCAGCAGCCTTTTTTGTTTGGTTTTATCAAGCTTGAGGCCTGGAAATTTGCAGATTCTGGCCGAAGGGCAATCTAGTTCCTCCTAGGTCATGTGATCATTATCTGCCATTCTCCATTCTGTTCTCCAACTCTGCAACCTTAATGGCAGGTTAGTTCTGATATCCACCAGAGTACCACTTTTGGATATGAAGTTTGGGCGGGATAGTTAAGGGGGAGAGGAAATAAAGCTTGGATAGACAATATGAAATGGTTTTTTCAAGTGGTATATCTAAGCTAAAGATTTCTACAGCTTCATGTCACTGAGGTTGGCTTCTTTAGAAGAGCCAACATTTGCAATTATTGACTCCTTTTGCCTTTGTTAGACAAAAAGGCATTAGCTGGACACTTTCTTTTGAAATGACCTGTGAGCAGCTGTGTGGTCAGTCCCGTCGTGCATGGAGCAGGCTAGACAAAAGCAGTGGAATTCCAAACCGCTTCCTGCTTGGGTGAACTGATAAGCAAAGAGGTGGCTGGGCAGGTGCGTTAGCTTTGCTTGCATTACAGTAACAAATAGCTAAGTCAACTTAAAAAAGGAAAGGTTTATCTTGGGTTGAAGATACTGAGGTTTCAGTCCAAGACTGATTGGCCTTGCTGCTCTGGGCCTGTGGAGGCACACTATGTCTCAGAGGGAGTACAATCTGTTAAGAATTGCAAATGGTTGACACCAGAGAGAGAACCATAATCCCCTTAGGGCACATCCCCAATGATGCTCCCTCTTACTAGGCCCATGTTTTAAAGTTTCTGCCATCTCTGAATAGTAACTCAAGCTGTGTACCATGCTTTTTTCATATGGGCCCTTGGAGGGCATTGCAGATTCAAACTACAGCAATAGATACTTCCTTTTAGGGGAAGTTGTATATTTAAATCCTAAGAGAGCATCTCATAACAAAGAGTCCCAGCTCAAAGAAGGGCAGAATAGCAAACACTGGTAACAATGTGCTGTGTACCAGAAGTTGAGGTAAATTAGGGTTCACTGTTTCTCAAATTATCTTCCACAAGGCTGGACCAAATCAGACTGTGAGCAAAGCAAACCTACACTTGGGTACACCTAATGCACCATCTTTGCCCACTTGTTCCTAAGCTTCAAAACTCTGAACTCCATTGGAATTCACTTGAGCAAGAAATCCAGTAAACAGCATCAAGGTAATTAAAAGGAAAATCTCACGATGCTAGCAAAATCACAAGGATCATATTCATTTTGTTGGCAAAACTTGGGGAAGAAAGCATGAATCCTGTATTGATACTATGTACACCCTGTGTTGATTTGTGGAGCTTCTTTCTGTGACTTGGAAACCATTCAAAGTACAGCATAGTAGGAAGAAACTTGGCTTAGGTGGGAGGTAGCTATAGGTGAACAGTAGGAGCAATTCTGGCTCAGTCACCACTCTAAAATCAGAAGCACTGGACTAAAGAACAAGTCCTACCTGATGAATGATGAACCACCTCTCAATCCAGCACTTAACAGCCCTGAGGAGGTAACCCAAGAGCCTGTCAATTCCACTCGGGACCTCAAGGTTTCTCCAGTAGAGCCGTCAGGTTTCAGTATGCTCCTGCTCCCTTTACAATAGGAAAAGGAAGACCACATTGAGGGAGCTGGAAAGGGAGACTGCCATTCTATTCTTGCTCTGATACTAACTAGCTGTGCGACCTCAGGTTTTCTTTGCTTCATTATCCCGTGTCACCAAATTCCCTTATTTGTAAAATAAACTAGTGGGATTAGCTGACTTGTAAGGCTTTCTCTAGCTTTACAGTCTATGAGATGCTGTATTTATATATTCAGAATCATTCATCCAAAAGAAGGAAAAACATATTTTAGTGGTTGTGACACAGACCTCATGTACATACCTAGATCCTAGGTAACAGCCTAGGCCTCCTGCACAGCACATAGGCTTCTCAGTTCAGCCACTTGTCTCCCTTGGCAGCAGCCAACTACTTAAACCTCTGCAACCTGGAGACTGAGTGTACACAGCACCTGTTTCCTCTCTGGATATTGGATTCAGCATTTGTGTGTATGAGACAGGGCTCCATCTCTTTTGCTTTAGCTTAGTTTTATGCTTTTGTCCAGGGCTGGCTTGGGACCCTGATCTTTCATTCACCTAGACAGCTGTGGTATGTGCCACTATTCCTGGCTTAGTGTTTCTTTACAAAGTTTTAATTCCATTCTGTGATACTTAACATACATTTTTTTGGGACCAATATTGGAGCTTGAACTTACACTTCTGCTCTCTCTCCTTTATCCCTTTTTCAATTATGTCTCCTCACTGAAATTAAAACTCCCTTGTTCTTCCAGCTCCACTTACTCCTTACAACGTCCATGCTTTAAAAAAAAAAAGTGCCACCTCTTCAAGTTAACAATTGAAACTGCCCACTGTAGGTGGGGTCCTTGTGTTCTATAAGGCTTAGAAACTAAATGGGCTAAGTGAGCACAGCTTTTATTTTTACAGCAAACAGCATTATTGTAGAATAAGAGGGGAGGGCTGTGTGTGCTTTGAGAAGAATGCTGAGTGATGAAATAAATTCACCTGGCTGGGGAAACTTACCAAACAGGACCAAGGAGATATGGACCACAGGAGGAGGGAAAGGCCAAAGTGGTTAAAGATACCTTGAAATATAGTCTGAAGTCGAGGAGACACTTTTGGAGTTAAGGTCATTACAGAACCACTTAGCAAGAGGCCTGCTGTATTAAAGGTTAATTACTCATGGCAGGGCAATCATTTGGGGAAGGGACTATCACCTAAGAGAGACAAAGATCTCCACTGTTCTTCCAAATTTGAACTCTCACGTAGATAGTACTTTGCAAATATGCGAGCAACTATTGGGTAGTTCTTTTGGAGACATATTTCCACTCTTAGCAAAACAAAATCTCTCCATTTCTAATACTGGCATGGGAATTATTTACAAGGAAAAACATTGATAGTTGGTTTATTTCATGTGCAAACAAAACCAGGCAGTGACATTCCTGGTGTCAGGTGTGTGCATATCCCCTAGTGGACAATAAGGTAACCTGGACCCCAGACAAGTGACTTTGTTCTGCTCAAAGCCCTCAAATGTTTGTTTTCCTACCTCTAGCACTCTAAAAAATAGTACCTATGGGCTGGGAAGGTGGCTCAGTGGTAGGGTGCTTGCATTGCATGCATGAGGCTCTGGGTTTGATTCTTTGGCAGAAAAAGCCAGAAGTGGCCCTCTGGCTCAAGTGGTAGAGCGCTTGCCTTGAGCTAAAGAGCTGAGGGACAGCGCCCAGGTCGACTTCAGGCCCCACAACCGGACCGCCCCCCCAAAAAAAGGAGTACCTAGCACGTACTTGCAGTTGCCTTCATAACTTATCTGCATGGTGCATTAAAAATTTCAAAGCATTTAAAAATGCATTATTGTGTTGGGTGGTAGCTCATACCAGTAATACTAGCTACTCAGGAGGCTGAGATCTTTGGACTGTAGTTTGAAGCCAGCCTGGGCAGCAAAGTCTGTGAGACACTTATCTCCAATTAACTACCCCCCAAAAGTGGAGCTGTGGCTTAAATGGTAGAACGTTATATCCTTGTGCAAAAATGCACAGGGACAATGCCCAGGCTCTGAGTTCAGGCTCTAGGATTGGTGTGCGCGTGTGCACGCACGCATACACACACACACACACACACACACACACACTCTGCTGTGCTCTTCCCCAAAACTCATGATGTACCCAAGTAAGTGGTTTTGCATTATTTTAGAGATTACAATAGATTTAAGACACAGGTTGTCCAGGATCAAACTTGTTTAGGTGAGAAAAGCCAGAAGACTTAATCTTCCTTCTTATTTTCTGTTGAATATGCAAGTAATCAGGAATAAGGAAAATGACTTCGAAATCACAAAAAAATGTATTAGCTGTTAGGAATGGAAGAAAAGCTACAATCACTGCCCATAAATTATAACAGGCATATTCACTAGGGGATGGGAGCATACCTTTGTGTTTTAGAGAGCTTAGCAAGTGTGAAGCCCTGGAGTCAACCCTAGCACTAGCAAAATAATTGTTGGATGCTATTAAGTTGCACAGAAGTTGGTGAACTTGTTAAAACACAGTTATAACCCAATTTTGATTCACCTTTAAACCAATTTATAATCCAGAATCCAAGAAAACAAATGTGTACCTTATTCAAATGCTCCTGATCTCAAAGCCCATTTCCTTTTAATGTGGATATGTTCCTAAAAAGCTTACAAAAGTAATGAAGGACAGATATTCTTTTTAATTCTCTATCACTAGTCCTTTAACACTGCAAGGCATACCATAAGGTGTTCAGTAAGTATTTGCAGTGAAAAAGTGCTTGCCTAGCCTGAGTAAGGCCTTGGATTTAAACCCCAGCATCACAAAAAATACAAAAATATTAACTCTTGGAACTGTTTTGGATACTGAAGAATTACTGATACCTAAATACCTAAAATGGTTTGGACATTTGCTAACCCTTGGGTCAGCTGCTGGCCATAGATTTCTTGCTCTAAGAAACTAGAAACCACATTAAAGCAGCTTGGGATAACTCCAAAGCCTCCAGTGTAGGTCATTCTGTGGCAGGTGACTCACAAAACACAAGTTAACTATATTGGAACTTGCCCATTGGTTCAAAGATTTAAGTTAAAATACCTTCCATGGACTTACTTATCAGTTGGGATTTTGTAAGATACATACTTGGGGTTTTGTGAAGACAATATTGAAACATAGGGTTAAATCCATACCCTTACTAGATCACTGAATGCATTCTAGGTACTAAGGGCATGGTCATTAAATAGTATTAATCAGATAAAGCAGTCAGCCTATCTTCTCATCTATAAATCAGATGGTGGGTGATCCTGCCAACTATGACCATCACTGACAGGCTGGAGTGGGAGAAGTTAAGAGTGCACAGTGCACATACGTTCCCAGGGGGCCATCCCATCCAGCAGCTCACAAAGCCTGGGTAATAAACTACATTTCAGAGTTCTATTGAAGGGAAGAAAAGGATCAAATGAACTTAACTATTACACTTGTGGATGGTTCACAAAAATTTTTCAACAGGATGTATGAATGATGAGTCCTGTTGAAATGAAACCCAAACAATGGGAAAAACTCTAACACATGACATCAGAAACACAACAAAGTTTGGACAAATGGGACGACTTTAAACTGCAGAGCCTCTGCATGGTCAAAGACATAGCTAGCAAGCTCAATGCAAAGCCCACAGACTGGAAGAAGATCTTCACTAGTCATATAACAGATAAGGGCCTCATATCTAAAATAGAAAGCTCAAAAATTAAATCCCCCCAAAACAAATCTTCAAAAAAAAAGAAACGAGCCCATTAACGAGTAGGCTAAAGACTCAAAAGAGAGACTTCTCTGAAGAGGCCAATAGAAACACATCTGGCCATAAAAGAAGTACAAATCAAAACACTGAGATTATTCCACATCATCCCAGTTAGAATGGCCATTATCAATATATCTAGTAACACATGCTGGTGGGGATGTGGCCAAAAGGGAACCCTACTACACTGTTGGTGGGAATGTAAACTTGTTTCAGCCACTATGGAGAACAATATAGAAGTTCCTCAAAATATAAACACAGAGTTCCCTACAACCCAGCTATCCCACTCAGGGCATCTACCCAAATGACCACAAACAAGGCCACACTAAAGCTACCAGCACAACTATGTTCATTGCAGCCTTATTTACCATAGCTAAGAAATGGAACCAACCCAGATGCCCCTCAGTAGATGAATGGATCAACAAGATGTGGTGTACACACACACACACACACACACACACTCACTCACTTCTATGCTTACATCAGAAAGAATGACATTGCCCCCATACACAAGGAAATGGAAATATCTGGAAAAATTACATCAAGTGTAGTAAGCTAGGCCCAAAGTAGGTTGCATGGTTTCCCTCATTTGTAAAAACTAGAATGTCTATGATATTCTTAACAGGGATCTCAATAGCCCAATTGCTAAATGCATAGGACCATATATAATAAAGCATATCAGCATGAATTGCAAGAACTGGAAACAAGAGGTTTTTATATCCTGTACGCAGTTCTTTCTTTAGTTTTTCTGTACCCTGTCTTGTATTTAAATTTATCCCATCCATAGAAGGGTACAAGAATCACAGAAACAGTAGGACAAAGGATGAATGCAACAATGATACTCACTTGACATTATGTTGGAAATGAACTATACAGCTTGCGGGGTGGTGGCGGGGGGCGGGAGAAGAGTAGGGAGGAGTAAGTGGGAGAAAATGAGGGGGTGTTTAAAAAGAAAGGTACTCATTTCCTTACTTATGTAACTGTAACCCCTGTCATCACCTTAAAAAAAAGAAGTGACCCAATTTGAATCTGTTGGTAGAACTAGACCCATTTTAAGTCTATATTCCAATGTCAAGTCTAAGGAAAAAAAACTTCATAGTTTTTAAAACTGCTTTTGAAAAGTCTACACATGGATCATATACGATTTTCTCTCTCCAGATCCCAGATTGAGTAGCTGGCTTTTGTTACATGTGCCTTTGCACCCTAGGGAAGATATTCTGTGTCCTTAAGTACAACTATGGTGGAATCTCACCAAGTGAACTGCAAATTCTTACTTCCCATCTGATGGCTTCTCTAGTTCATAAATTCCCTTGGGGCAACAGACTGTATTATTCAAATAAGGAATTATCTCTGGCTAAACAAACAGAGCTGACTCACTGGCACCGTGACTCCTTTTTATAAATGCCCAGATGTACATG